CGACCCTCCCCACCCCACCCACTCAACCTCCCACACCCACCCACCTCAACCCTCCACACCACCCACTCGACCCTCCCACACCCACCCACCTCAACCCTCCCACACCGACCACTTCGAACCTTCCCACACCCACACCACCTCGACCTCTCCCACATCCCACTCCACCTCAACCTCCCACACCCACCCACCTCGACCCTCCCACACCCACCCACTCGACCCTCCCACACTCCACCGCACCTCAACCCTCCCACACCCACCCCACCTCTACCCTCCACACCCCTCACACCCTTCCAACCTCCACACTTACCCCTGTTGGTCGCCGGTGTGCGATGCTGCTGCTGCTTGCTGCTGCTGCTGCTGCTGCTGCTGCCCCGGCGTGACCCCAATGCCTCCGCCATCGGGTGCGCCGGCCATTTCGTCGGGGGCGGCCCGGCCAGGCCCTGGCTGTCTGTCCATCATCGGGCGGGTCGCCTTAGCAACCCGCATCGAGCGGCATGCCCTAGGGGGCGGCATGCCTCCCGGCTGGCGGGGCCGTCGGCGATCGAATCGGCTGATAGCCGCCCCGGGCGCGCCTCCGGTCGGGGCGTGACGTTCGGATTTAGTTGTCCGAACTGATCTGGAAGGAAGAGAGAAGAAACAACTGGATGAACAAGAAGAAAGAAAATAAGAACAAGAAAGAAGATAAGTAAGAAATAGAAAGAAAGATAAGAAAGACTTCAAGAATTAAGAAAAAAAGAAAGAAAAAAGAAAGAAAGAACGGAGAGAAAACGCTACAATGAAGTTAACAAAAAAAGAAACAAGAAGAAAAGGAGAAGAGAAGAACGATTGAGGAGCACACAGGGACTGCGTACACAACAATAACCGTTGATGAACAATACTAATGTATAATAATAATAACTGGTTAATTAGTTATTGTAAATTATTTATTAATGCAGAATAGTTCGGATGAATACATTAATTTTTGCCTTCAGTAGAACGAAAAGAACAATAAGAAGGAATCAAGAATGAAAATAAGAAAAAACAACGGACTATGACAGTTAATGATTATCTCCCGTTAGGATGGGCTGCGCCGACTGCCAGTTCGCGCAATTCGCCGCACACCATCTCACCTCGCCGCGCGTGCGACATGCGCACGGTCAAGGTCGCGGTCTCCTGCTGTTAGGTCCATGTTGCGCGTGTGCGGCGGCTTCAAAACCCAGCCTTGCTGCGGTGGGCGCCTCCGCTCGTCCCGTACGGCTGCTGCCTTGCTGCTGCTGCTGCGGGCGGCGGCGGCAGAGGTTGCTGTACGGAGGGACGCTGCCTGTTGCTTGCGTGGCCTGCTGCTGTGTCGCGGCCCGGCGCCGAGCATGATGGGATCACGCGACCCGCGCGCACAACAGGAGCCCCAGGCGAGGGCGCCACCACCCACGCGCACTCACACGATGCCGGGCGGCCCGGCGCCAGGTACGCACCACCAGGGGGCGCTGATCGTGGCTGCAGCGTTGTTGGCGTAGCCGTTCTTAGTTCGTTTCGGTGTCATCACTAGTTTTATACGATGACATGTTTTGTTGGTCTATCTAGTTTTAGCCACGACTTGCTTTTTATAGAAGGATGTAGTTCGTTTTGTTGCATCGCAAGCCGACGCTCGTATCTGTTCACTTGTTTCAGATATGACGGGCGCCATGTCGGCGGCGCAGGTTGGTGCAGCTGCCGCGGGATTGGTTGGCGGCAGCAGCGCGGCGCCCTCTGCATCTAGCGGCTCCATCTCTCAGCAAGACCAAGAAAAGGTGAGTCTCACTGGTTATACACCCCGCCAACGAAGTTAGGGGGGGGTATACTGGAAACGCCTTGTCTGTCTGTCTGTCTGTCTGTCTGCCCGACACCAGCCTTGTGCGCAAATCTCCTCGAAAAGTACGGGACCGATTTCAACCATATTTGGTACACGTCATCAGTACACAACAATTAGCGGACCACTGTGATGGCTCAATGGTTGAGTGCTCGCCTCGTATGTGGAAGGTCGGGGGTTCAACTCTCGGCCGGGTCATACCAAAGACTTGAAAAATGGTACACACGGCTTCTCTGATTAGCATTCAGCAAACAGAGATAGAGTGTGACAAGTGCTACCAGTGGACTAACACACTACTGTAGTATTTACTGTGTAAGCATCTGCGGGGCCTCAGGGTTACTGAAACGGAGATTGGCACCGCCCTATGCGCCATGTAGCTATGCGCTATGCGTATAAAGGCGCGGGAAGGATTTAACTTTATTAGTACACAAGGTAACTGTGCACCTGCGATGAATTTTTTGCGTCCGACATTTTTGGAAAGAGTTATGTACGACATGCTGACGCCATCTAGTGGATCATTTCATACATAACTGCCCACCCACTCCATACAAAACCACTAGCATAACAACGCACGCATTCCAACCGCCGTATAAAAACGTTTCGCTCGCCATAAGACATCG